ATACAAATTCTTCCATTCCCAGCTTATTTTTTTTAAATAAAGCAAACAATTTTGCAAAGATATTTCAAAACAATCTCAACAGATAATGATTTTAAATGTCCTGGGAAAAATAGAGTGATGGACACTCAGACAAACCAAGAGTCTGACTCATTTTCCATGACTCTTTGTGGATAAATATATCTTCTACCCAATTTGATGTATTTTTTAAAAATACAAAAAAAACCCCACCCAAAATACCAATAATAAAAAATGACAAAGAAACCTCCTAGCAGTTTGCATTTTCGAAGAGAAACTGCTACTTGAAACAGGAATTCGAAGTGTCTCTTAATGTAGGCATCCTTCTTAGGAAGGTAGACCTTTAGTCATTTCCTTAATATCATTCAATGTGATCTTTCTTTATGGGAATAAAGAATGCACTGGCCATTCAATAGCAGCATGTTATTATTGTCATTATGAATCCATTAGACATGTTCAGGCAAGCTAAGTAGCAGCCCTGTGACCAAATTCTCCTTCTGCTGCTTTTAGTGAAACATTTGATAAAATACTGCCTGCCCTGATTTACTTTCTGCTCGTGGTAAAAATTTAAAGAGAATAGGAGAGTCTTTTCTTTGTCCTTGGATATCAATAGAGGTGTTAGTTGTTGGTGATGAGATTTGATTATTAAGCTGCAGTGTTTTTTGCCATTTGTTTAAAAACCACTAAAACACACATAAATACATATTCAATATTCATGTCCATATCCTCATTATAAAATGTGTAATCTGCTATAGAGATAAACAGAATAAGTGTAAAGGAAGCTAATGTTTAATAGGTGTTTGTAGTTTTCAGTTTCTTTGTAAGCTTTAGCTTTTTTTTAGATCTAATAATATATGAAAAAACACATGCACATATAAAAAAAAATACACACAGACATTGGTGTACAAAAGATATTCATAGTACAGTTTCAGAGGATCTCATTTTTGTGAGGAGACAGAGACAGAGACCCACATTGGAGCACCAGACAGAAATCTCAAGGTCCAAATCAGGAGCAGAAGGAGAGAGAGCACGAGCAAGGAACTCAGGACCGCGAGGGGTGCACCCATACACTGAGACAAGGGGGATGTTCTATCGGGAACTCACCAAGGCCAGCTGGCCTGCGTCTGAAAAAGCCTGGGTTAAAACCGGTCTCGCTGAACATAGCAGAAAATGAGGACTACTGAGACCTCAAGAACAATGGCACTGGGTTTTTGATCCTACTGCACCTATTGGTTTTGTGGGAGCCTAGGCAGTTTGGATGCTCACCTTACTAGACCTGAATGGAGGTGGGTGGTCCTTGGACTTCCCACAGGGCAGGGAACCCTGATTGCACTTTGGGCTGACGAGGGAGGGGGACTTGGTTGGGGGAGGGGGAGGGAAAGGGGAGGCGGTGGTGGGGAAGAGACAGAAATCTTTAATTAATTAATAAAAAATAAATAAATTTTAAAAAAAAGCTCCTGAACACTTTAGCATGTTGCTACAACACCTGGTGGTCAGGCACTTCTTTTGCCTAATGGTTTTCTGATGTGGGAATCCCCTCTATGTGCTGTGATTATCATTAATGAATAAAGAAACTGCCTTGGCTTTATGATAGGGCAGGACTCAGGTAGGTGGGGAAAACTGTACTGAACGCTGGGAAGATGAAGGTGGAGGTGGAGAGACGCTATGAAGCCACTGCCAGAGTCAGACATGCTGGAACTTTGCTGGTAGGCCACGACCTCGTGGTGATGCACAGATTAATAGAAATAGGTTAAATTAAGATGTAAGAGTTAGCCAATAAGAAACTAGAGCTATTGGGGCAAGCAGTAATTTAATCAATGTGGTTTCTGTGTGTTTTTTTTGGGGCTAAGCTAGCTGGGCAGCTTGGATGAACAAGCAGGCCTCTTCATACAGTTCTCTTTGTCATTGTATCCTTTTTATCTGAACAGGTAAGTCATGACGATATTAAGACCCCTCTGTCCATAACCACTAGTCAATGGTGTGGGAGCTGGCATAAGCACTCTAGTTCTCTATTCTCCCAGCAACTGTCAACCAAAGCAGTTTAGGAGAAGATGGGCTTAACTCCCTCAAATCTTGAATAGCAGTTGACAATTAGCAGTTGATTGTGTAGCTTCTTAAATGGAAAGGGGCTACAGGCATCATTGTGGTAGGTAGCATTTTTCTTGTCTTATTTCCATACTTTACCAAGGATGAATCATTCAACTCTAGCCTAAATTGCTTCTACTCAAGTATTTATTACATGAGCAGCTTGTGCTTCTGGAAGAACTCAGACTAAGACATTCGGCAAAGATACTACTTTTACTATTACAGGATGGCTTGTAATTTCATCTGTCCTTTGGCTCAACTTGCAACCAGTTTTGCCTTCATGGACCTACCCTTTTGATTTGAGCTGTTATAAATACTTAAAATGCTTTCCAAACAGTGTGGAAATTCTAAAAATTAAGATACAGAATGTAGCCATTCAGTTACATGAAAGTTATAACATACTGAAATTGCATTCAGCATCAATGTTGCCTGTTAAAATGATTTTCATCAATGTGATGCTATTCCTCTAATAGTTTAAAACAAGTCACCAAGAAAGAAAATATTTCTTATTAAAAAAGCCAGCAAGCTGTTAATTCTCTAGCACCTACCCAAAGTGAGGAAAGCCATATTAAAAAAAAATAAATTCTTAATTTTTACCTTTAAAAAGGAATAGATTTTTTTTTGAGTCTGTTAGTTACCAAATCCATCACCCACCTAGGAAAATGATTCCTTTCATGGCTCAATCAGAAGCTCATCTTAAATTCAACGGAAAGCTAAGTCTTCAAGCTCCCTTCCTGTTCCTGTTTCCATGGGAATAGGCTTCAGATCAAGGGGGAGGGGAGGGGATGAATGGGGTTAGGAGCTTTCAAATAATCATTCGAAATCATGATGAGGTTTTTAGAGCTTCTTTTTACATGATTATTTTGTAGCCTCTTAACCCTCTTTTGCCAGACTGTTTCCATGGAAATACGACTGTCCAAGCCTCCAGCAGAGATTATTAGCATTCTTGTGAATTACAGCTTTGGTTGTAGCTCAAGGTGGCCAAGCTTGATCTCCTATCAGTTTTATATATGAACTTCTGCTTTTTATTTACTGTAATTTTTCCTTGTAATTTCTATTTAATTTGAAATTTTCCTCCCTGAGTTTATAACTATGATCTGGGTGATACTGAATGATTAGGGCTCTATTGAAAAAGTCTTCTATTCTAAATAGTAACATGTGAGCCAGACATTTAGCTGCATGGAGTGTAATAACCTTTAACAACCCACAGAAAAATATTTAGCTATTGTATAAGCAACATTTATTATATAAGTGTTGCTAGTAAGGCAAGAAGGGTGGTATTTTAATTATTTAGCAACTGATACACACAGACACCATTTTCCGGAGCTGCAAATGCTTGTATCACCCTCAGTCCTACTATGTAATAACTAATAACAAATTAACCTGTAATAGCCTCATAAAAGATGGTTAGAATTGCTATCAAAGTTCTCAAGGTCATATACTGAGTTTCTTTAAACCTACAAAGGAACTTTCAGAAGGAACTGGCTAAGAATATATAGCAATCTGTTTTGAAAAAAAGTGCATATGCTTCTTGCATTCTCTTTCATGTAAAGGTCACTTTAAAATCAAAATCATTCTTATTATTGAAGACATTATGCTAAAAGACAGAGAAAGAATGTATATGGATCTATTCCAGAATCCCTAGTAAGATCTCTTATGTTCAATGTGAAAAAAGTAACAGCAGGCTAGACATCTAATGTTATTCCACCCTGCTCTCTAAAACTGAACAGCTCAATCGACAACTTTCACTGGGGGAAATCTGCAAGCTCTGATTGACCTCATCAAGTACTTTCATTCCTTATCCCCATTTTTATTATTCTGTCTTTGAAGCTTTTATCACAGTCCTGTTTGATGATTCTGAATTGAAAAGAGTAAATATCGCTTGAGAACTTAGGTTTTAAATAGGTTCCTGTTGAAATATATGAAAGACTAACTGGCTGGAAACACTAATTTTGATTTATTTTTAGCTCAATAAATTATAAATACAAGAAGTAAAGAATCCCAATTAATTTTTCAAAGTGGCTTCAGGCTCCCCAGATGCTGTTCTTGTTGTCTTCACACTTGTGTTCCTGAGAGCAAGGTCTGCTCTTAAATCAAATGTTCTCACTATCTTATTCATTGGATTCTTTTTGGAGCCCAGGCAGACTCATTCATATACAGTTTTGTCTTAATTAACCACCAGAAAGGGCAGACTGAGGAGTCGGCACATTGAAGACGAGATAGGCAAATCCTCACTGTTCTGTGCTTTTGTAAGAAATTATTTCCCGTCAAGCTCGGCGGACTGAACTGAAAACGTCTTGGCATCATCTTTCAACTCCACAATCTGGGCTAACCTTGGGCTAAACTCGGCTAAAGTCGGGCTAACCCAGGTTAACCTTGAGTTAGATTGGTCTGGTCTGTCATCCAAGTGAGATTAAATATTTGTAAGTTATTTAGCACACTGCTTGGAATATATTACAGACTTTGTGAATCAATGATATTTTAGGCTTTCTATGTACTATCTAAATAAGTGTTTATAAAGAATGACTTATAAAAATGACTTGCTGCTGTCACCATCCAGTACTTTTAACACTGTTGTATCTGTATTTAATAAATGCATGTTTGTCTGATTATAATCCAAATTATAAGTAAAATGGAATACAACATGCTTAATTCACAGAAGGAAATTCAACATTTTAATTATAAATATTTCCATATTCCCTAACAACCAAGAGTACAGTCATGGCAGACAGTTGCAAACTAGGAATTACTTGAAATGTATAATAAGATGTGAAGGGATCCTGAAATTCTAAGTATGAGGTTATAACATTTTCAGAGAAGAAGCTTTGAAAGGTGGTTGACCTTTTCATTATTTTATGTTTAGCAATAAATAAAACTATGACTGTGGTTTGTGTACTTACATCCATGAACTCCACATTGGCTTTGGGGCCAGTTGTCTCATTGAGGATCTTAATGGCCACGGGGATTTTCACTGTTTCACCTTCAGGCACCCAAATACCCTGAAAGGAAAATCAAGTCAGATTGATTCTATATTGAGATTGAATAATATTTTACAGTAGAATATAATGTGGTTTGACCACTCACACTTTAATTTTATTTTATTTCATTATAGAGATTATCATATAATTACGTTTTCTCTTCTTTTTCTTCCCATCAAACCTCCCATATGCTCCTCCCCATTCTCCTTCAAGTTATTGCCTCCTTTTTCCTAACTCCATATTGCATATATATATATATGTACACATGTATATATATACATATATACATATATATTCTTAAATACTACCTTCTCAATACAGATCTATATATGTATATGTATATGTGTATATATATAATGTGACTTGTATGTACTTTTTTAGACCTGACAATTTGGCAATGGACAACCAATTGGTATGTTCTGAGTTTGAATTTCTTTTCAATAATAAGCTTTTCTTCAGCATATCTTATGTGGTGTACATGTTGTGGTCTAAATTCATAAGAAATGAATTATGCATATTTCTATTTTCATAGTATTCAATGTCCATTTAAGATTAATTTGGTTTCTTCTTATAAAAGGCTTTGCACTTTGAAGAGAGCATTAACAGAGGATAAAGTATTTAAATCTTATTAGGATGACAATATCAACTTCATTTCAAAACAAATTAAGTATTTTTTGTTCTGAAGAGTATGGAAGCTTTATGTCTAAACAATAATGTATAAAACATAAACAGGTAGAATGATATTTATTTTTCAGTCCAGTTGTTTATTCTTTAACTAAGAGAAAAATATCATGTTTCTTAAATTAAGATGGAATAGGAATTAAATTTCAAAGGTTATTATTTTGAAAATAGGACTCAACGACAAGTTCCGGGGTATATGGAATACACAGTAATTTATCTATGTTATTAAATTAATGATTTTTGCCACTGGGTAGATATAAAATACTTATATTGACCACTGGCAATTCATCTTTTTATCAACATAATTGCAGGATTTAGGGATTGGGAGAACATTAAAAATTTAGACTTTCAAGGTACAAGATCAATAATAGGTTTCTGAGTAAATGTAAACATCTAAATGAGGACAAGAAGTTTGAGAGGAAAGATAAGAATGCTTGGATTACGGATGGATATTGTTAAAAGCGCATAGTCCGAAATGAATTCATAACTTTTGTGAGACCATTGCAGGATCTCAGGATGACTTCTGACAGTTTGAACTTAAAGATAAAAGGGAGGGAACTGTAGGTTGCAGCTCTACATTCTTTCTCATCTGGGGACAACGATAGGATGAAACCTAACTTAAGTAAATGTGTTTGTTTCATTCTATGTTGGAGTAATAGAAGAGACACAGACCCAAGAGACGTTGAATAGTAATAACAGTGAAGAAAAGTACTTTAAACCTCCACGATGAGATTTATGATTGTGTTTGACTTAAGCAGGTCAGTGGGGAAACGTATGTGTCAAATGCAAAATAATAACATAAGTTACTTGTAGTATAATTTTGTAAAGGATATTCAAGCAGAGGAAGGGAGGAAAAAACCTCAGAACCCAAAACCCCAGGCTATATTTTATCAGAGATGGTATCTAGGGCAGAGAACATGCTTATCATTATTCAATAAAATAACCACATAGGGAGTTACTTTATAAAGCTGTAGCATCAATATTAAAATATTCCTAAAGTACAGTTTTAAAATAAAAATATAAATTCAGTGTGAATTAATTTGTACCACTCATGAAGAAAGTCTAGCCATTACGTTATATATTGAAACACCATGGAATTGGAATATACTTGTGCCCATATTGATCCTGAAACATATCATAGCTTCAGTTAAGAAGAAAAAAATGTCCAAATAAGTACTCAGGCCACTGGCGTTTGTGTGTTCGCCAATGGCTTTTCATAGATTAAGATTGTATGTCTTACAATGCATGATATATTGACTAAAACATAGGACTGGTGACACATATTTCAAACATGCCCTTCAGATAAAGTTATGAAATGTCTAATAAAGTGCATTGTCTATAATACTTTCAATTTTGTCAATAAGACATGTAGAAATGATTATCACCAAACCCAAGGGAAAGAGGGAAACAGTTTTCTGTTGACTTTCCTATATTTTAGCTTAAAAATACTCATTCATATCTACGGATATGAAAGGCCAAGCAATTATCAAATAAATCATAGGGTTAGTGGGGGCAAGGAATCTTTATAAAGATGTTTGGATGGCATATATTTATAATGCGGTGGTCCCAAGTCTTAGGCAGTAGGATAATAATGATTCAATTAGTTCCTTCCAACATCTTAGGGAGGGGATCAGAGAAAAATGTAGAGCTCAATAAAAATCAATAAGAAAAAGATAGTATTTAGAATTACATATGTATTATTCCAAATAATTTTATGTATTTTCTTTAAAATGCATACAAATTGAAATTATTAAATAGCAAATCAAATTTAGATTCAATTTTAAGTATAAAATTACACAATTTGTGACTTTTTCTAGCATAATTTCAGTATTTACAAAAGATAACTTAGGCACAGAATTTGAAGATCAGAAAGACAAATCAGCCTAAACTAGAAACTCTGTAAATTGGACACTCAGTTAATTATTTAACTGAACAAAATATGCACACTAAAATGATAGGAAAACTTTCACAGTTGGATATTTGAAGGTTTATAATGATGACAATATTTTCAAATATCCAGGAAATGAAAATTTATGTCTACAATATGATCATTAATATTGTTCTAACAAATAAATCATTAATTAATTTTTTTGAGACACTGTGTCATTACCTTGCCACTATTTTACTAAATTATCTACGGTGCTCTCAAACTTTTGTGTTCAATTTATTACCATGACTCAGATGTTCAAGTTTGGGAATATATATATATATATATATATATATATATATATATATAAAATCACATCAACTTAAATCATTTTTCTAAATAGAGAAAACACTGAGTATTTTGAAATACAAAATTCTTAAACCTTTCTACCTTAATCACTTGTTTGTAAAAATAAGGAATCACTTAGAAATATACAGTAAGCTGCAAAACTAAATTTTGTTAATTGTACCAATGGCTACTACAAAATGGCCTCACAATTAGCCCAGTAAAGTTTTTTTATCTCGCTATTTTTACCACTAAAAAAATTTCACCACATAATATTGGGCAGGCCTCATGATTGTATTTGTAATTTAGCTAAATAAGTAAAAATATAGATACCACCAGTTTAATTTTTTTCTAGAAAAATTTGTCTTCGAAAATGAATGGTATTATCCTTTTGTTTTATCTGATCTGAACTACTCATATCCTTATTTTTTACAAAATGGCAAGGACATTAAAACTACCAACATACTTACTAAGTCATATATGTAATCAGTCAGGCAAAAAGTTGTTATAATCTTATTCTACAAACGTATTAGCACATTCATACAGATTTTGAGTGATCAGTTAGTAGGGTACCGACAGAGACTAAGGATTAACAAGCAGAAAAAAAAAAAGGATTGTGGGAATTGCTCGGGAAGTTCTGGAAGCAATGATTAGGGGAAAGGAAGCAGTTGTGGTTGAGTGCTTGGGAAACAAGTAGAAATTTGCGAAAGAGAAGGCAATATTGAAAGGGGCTCAAAGGGCCCTGAATGCACTCCACTTGGGTGAGTACCTACAATTCTCCCCTTCTCTGAACACGACACTTACCCAGAATTGTTCAGAAAAATTAAAGAACTTGTCCGTCCAGCAACGTCTCAATATTACATTATTCCATTCTTTGAATATTAAAAGGAAATTAGGTTGGCTAAAACAATTACCTCGGCTATTACTTTTTAAAAGCTTGAAACAAAACTCAAATAACTGGAGGCGTGTACTGTGTTTTCGCTTACCTTATAAACGGTTCCAAAAGCTCCTGAGCCAAGGACTTTTACCCTCTTTAGTTCTGTTTCCTTCAAAATGCGTAGTTGAGCTTGGTTGGGTGCCGTGCCACTGGGGGTTAAGGGCTCTACCAACTGCAAAGCAAAGGCATGGGATTATGGACCTTTCATCCACGCTCACTTCTGCTTCTTTTCTAATACGTTTAATGAAAGTGCTACGCTAGGATACATTTCTCTTCCAAACACTACTTTCCAGTATCAGCCACAATCCTATACTCTCTGTGCACCTGCTCTTTGCCTGGGTGCATTCAAGTTTTGCATATATTCTACCAGAGGCACACTGGTTAAAAATACAGAGACGAAATAAAAGAATACAAAAGGACAACAAAACCAGAAATTGTCCTGTATTAGCACTTACAATAATTGCAAAGCTATCATGATCATATCAAAAAGGGATACTAGTTAGCAAAATGCTGATTCTTTGGGCAACCAAAACATCAAATATATAAGATTCTTATCACATCTCAATCCTTGTCTGAGTAGGCCTGAAATTCTGAATTTTGTGTGGACCATAAGGTTGTATTTATTTATGATGGTGAGTTGTGAACTCATTTTACATAGCAAGATGAGTACAGTTGGTTCTAGACTGTAAGTTACGTTTTGTGACACAAACATATTCAATAACAAGTGGGGACTAAGGCTTCCTAATTCTGGCTTTTAAAAGAGCTATATGTTATATCAGACTTGAGGTCATGGCAATAGTGTGACATTAAGAGACCATTTGCCAAGTGAGGATTTGGGAGTCAGCATCAGAAGGAAAGAAGGATACAGATATAAAATACATCAGATGTGAGTTAAAAATGGAGGGTGAGATAAGAGTAGGAAACCACAGATCAGAAAGAGGGTTGAATGTGGTCAAAATGTACAATTAGGCTGAAGTTTATTGATGTTGTAGTTAGGATGCCATTCAGCTGAAGCATTTGATTGCATGAAGGAAGGAGATGTGAGCTGGACAAGGCAAGAGTGTTTAAAGTTCTCACACCCTAACCACAGTTGGCCATTCTGAAACCTCAGCTACCTTTGTCCAACTATATTTGGCAAATAATAATTAGAAATTTTCAGAAAAAAATTCATAAGTTTAGAATATTTTTGTTAAAGTAACTAATTTATTTGATCAATAGGAACTGTAATTAACTTCTTGTGTTCAATGTATCAGTCAAACTCTATCAAAGTTATGTATGTATAGGAGCAAACATCATACATATATAAACTTTATATATAGTGGTTATCTATAGTCTCAAACATCTGTTATTTTTAGAATATGCCACTTTTGGGTCAAGAAGTCTGCTGTGCTTAGTGGATTCTAGCCATAAACAAAGATCATTGAGCCTATAGTTCATGATTCTAGAGAAGACAAGTAATAAGGTGAACCCCAAGAAAAAGATATATAGATCCTCCTGGAAATTGGAAGCAGTCAAGATCGCCAGGCAAAAGTTGGG